GGGACAGGGCTGTGGGGGGCAGAGGGTGGGCCGGGGTCCTAAGCCGACCTCTCCCGGAGCATTTCGCTCCCTCCCATCCGTTTCGACACGCAGCAGGGGCAGCGACCGGGGTGTGCCCACGGGTGGACGCCGACGCAGATCCTGGGGCGTGGAGACAAGCCCTTCCTATCTCCAGAGCTAACGATTAATCCAGGGTAAACAGGCGAGGGCACATCTTCCTGCCCCGTCCAGCTGTCACTGAGCAACGCTGTGCCTCCCGCCCCCCCCGCCCCCGCGCCCTCCATCCCACAGATTAGCATTAACCAATCAGAACAGCTCCCGTGACTGAGCCCCTGATCGCAGGCACCAGGCCCCGCCTGACACGTGTGCAGAGACGCACACATCCGCCCAGTGTCACCAGCATGTGGCAGTGGCTCACTCCGTTCCCACATGAGCAGAGACAAGAACCCCGCCCTCCACACGAGGGTAGAGCGTGAAAGGCAGGGAGCTCACAGCCTGCAAGCGGCCGCCGGGATTGGCTCCCATTTGTGCATGATTGGTTTTGGTTTAATTTACCTACTACTTACTTCAAAGGAGAATTTCAGGAACCAGATCAGGTGATATTAAAAAAAAATAAAAAGCCTCTGTGCTAAAGGTGTTTTGGACTCTCCCAGGAGTCCCCTAATCCCTGAATCCTAGGCACTCATGCGATGCAGGGCTATATGGGGAGGCCCCCGAGCCCTGCAGCCCCACTGTGCGCTAGCGTCACATGATGTGACACCACCTGGCACAGAACTTCCGGACAGAAAGACCCCCTGAGCTGGACGAGGGTGAGCGAGCAGGCTGGGCTGGCCGTGGGAGGGCGGCTCACCTCGTTGAAGTCGCCCACTCTGGGGATGTGGTTCTTCCTGGTCTTGCCCAGGACGGCGCCGGAGTTGGAGATGACGACGGCCGTGTTCCACAGCACGTCCCCGTGCTCTCCGTCCCGCTCCAGGATGGGCGAGACCACCACCATGTTGTGCTTCTTCGCCAGCTGGGAAAGGGAGAGACTTTCCAATCAATGGCCGTGGGTTCCTACTGAATAATTCAGCGCTTCTTCCAGATAACGGGCCTCGGTTCAGAGCCAGCACTTGGCGTTGGGAGGACGGAATGCCCGTGCGGCCCCGAGGCCCGAGCTCAGGGACACGGGTGTGATTGCTGTCCTTGTGCACTGCAGGGGGATGTGAAATGGTGTGCCCTTGTGCAAACAGCATGGCGGCTCCTCAAACATTAAAAACATGGAATTACCACAGGATCCAGCAATTCCACTGCTGGGTGGAGACCCAGAACATGCAAAGTAGAGTCTCGAAAAGCTATTCACACACCACGGTTCACAGCAACACTATTCACCACAGCCAAAGGATGGAGGCAGCCCCAGTGCCCGCCTGTGGGTGAAGGGTATGGCCACACCATGGAGTACTATTCAGTCTTAAAAAGGAAGGGGATTCTGACAGACGCTACAACATGGGTGAACCCCGAGGACATCACGCCAAGTGAAATAAGCCAGTTGCAAGAGGACAAACATGCACCGTGTGAGTCCACGTCTGTGCAGTATCCACAGTACTCAGACTCGGAAGCAGAAAGTGAAACCGCAGCTACCAGTGGCTGCGGGCGGAGGGGAGGTGTTTAATGGGAACCGAGTTTCAGATTGACGAGATGGGAAAGTTCTGGAGATTTATTCACAGCACGAAGAGTGTATATGTTGAGTTGGACACTTAAATAGAATTAAGATGGTAAATTCCATGTTATGTGTTTTTAATACAATAAAAAATAAAGGAACAATCATCTTACTTTGTATAGATATTCATAGAAAGGCTCTCTGATACTGAATTCCTTTGTCTCAAATAAGAACATCATTAGGGCCTGAGGACCGGTGGGATGAACAGCCCCAGCCAATCATTTATCTTCAACTCTAGCCAATCATTTATCTTCAACTCCTAACTAGCCAATCATTTCTCTTCAACCCTAACTAGCCAATTATTTGTCTTCAACTCTAGCCAATCATTTATCTTCGACTCTAACTAACCAATCATTTGTCTTTGACTCTAACTAGCCAATCATCTGTCTTCGACTCTAACTAGCCAATCATTTGTCTTCGACTCTAACTAGCCTGCCATTATCTCTGGCCTTAAAGGCAGGAGGGAGGGAAGGCACGGGGTGGAAGGCGAAGCTGAGCCATATAGCGGTGGCCGTGCCTCCCCAGGCCCCTCTCCATGCAGACAGGCGTCCCCTGGTGCCATTTCTCGTTCCCACTCTTCCTTTCCTTTTCCTCCAGGCCTGGTGCAGGCGTGCCAGCTGCAGTTGCCTCCTAACCAGCCCGGCATTCTTTCCTCCCGCAGCATAGAATCAACCGCCTGGTGACTGAG